TGGCTTCTGAGCTGGCCGCAGGCACCCGACTTGGGCTTGGCTGCAGGCCAGCGGGCCGTGGGGTGAAGTCCAAGCCCCGACGGGCTCTGAGGCCTTCGAGCGCCCTCGCTGGCCGTGCCAGGGCGTGGCCCTCGCCTGGTCTCCATGACAGGAGCCCTCCACGGACGCGGCGGCGTGCGCGGGCCACGCAGAGACCTTGGTGGAGGAAGTTTATTGTACAAAACGAGGCCCCTCAGGGAAGCCCAGCCCGGGGCTGCCCGGAGCCCCACACCGAGGGAGGCCCCGCCCCTCCTGCCCCCCACGCCAGGCACCCCTAGAAGACGGTGCACTTCTTGCCCGGCTTCCGCGCCGGCGGCGGGCAGAGCACGGCCCGGATGGCCTCGTCAAACACCGTCTTGAGGCCCCGCTGGGTCAGGGCCGAGCACTCCAGGTACTTGACGGAGCCTGAGGGCGCAGGGGCCATGTCAGGTGGGCAGCGGGCGGGGCCGAGTGGCCACCGCCCGTCCGCCGCGGAGCCCCACGCACCGATCTCGCGGGCCATGGCCAGCCCCTGGGGGTAGGTGATGGGCGCCAGCTTCTTGTCCCGCAGCCGCTCGATGGTGTCCTTGTCGTCGCGGAGGTCCAGCTTGGTGCCCACCAGGAGGATGGGCGTGTGCGGGCAGTGGTGCCGCACCTCGGGGTACCACTGTGGGGACAGGCTGGCTCTTGGGAGGCCGGTGGGCCCCGACCCCACACAGTCCTGTGGCCTTAGGAGCACCGCCCCGCAGGGTCACCACAGGGAAGCTGTCCAGGGGCTTCCAGGGCCTCAGGCAGAGCCACCAACCCCCCAGCCCTGGGCACCCCACACAACAGGGTGGACCCCAGGGGCAGCACCCTCCTACCTTGGCACGGACATTCTCAAAGGAGGCGGGGCTCACCAGGGAGAAGCAGATCAGAAAGACGTCCTGGGCAGGGCGGCGTGGTCAGCGGCGCAGCCCTGTCCAGTCCTCCCCCCAACCCCCGCGGCTGTCACCTACGGTTTGGGGGTAGGACAGGGGGCGCAGGCGGTCGTAGTCCTCCTGCCCGGCGGTGTCCCACAGCCCCAGGTTCACCGGCTTCCCGTCCACCATCACGTTGGCCGAGTAGTTGTCAAACCTGGGGGTGCGGAGGGCGGGGTCGCCGCGGCCCTGGCGTGGGCCCCGCCCCCCGCGCCCCCCGCCCGCGGGCGCTCACACGGTGGGGATGTACTCCCCCGGGAAGGCGTTGGTCGTGTAGCTGATCAGCAGGCAGGTCTTGCCCACGGCGCTGCGGGCACACAGGAGGCCGCGTCGCTCCAGGCCCGCCCGGTGCCCG